AGCACTTACATGTTTATAGATAAAATGCATAGAAATAAAATACACAAAAAAAAACATTATGAAAGGGCTTTTTAGATAGGGCTGGTTGAAAAAAAGGACAGAACTGAAGAAAATGAGGAGAACAAAACCCACCATTGTTTTGAACCCTTTACAACATATCCCTAAAGAAGTACTTCATCTCAAAAAAGTAAACCTACTCAATTTTATACCCGTGGTGCCCCTTAACGATCTTAATCCCTAAATTGCCCCGCAATGGCCCTAATCCTCCATGAAAGTTTCTTAAACCTAATCGTCAATAAAGATGTTGCTGATTGTTTGAAATGTGGTGGCCGTGAAAGAATAAAGAAGGAATATCGACAGACATCTGGCAATGGGCCCATAAGGTATCTAAGATGAGCAATGCAGGCCTAATGTTGGATTTGGTGCTATCCAAAATCACCCACATAAGTAAATGCCATATTTTGTGGAATTGAGATTGATATTTGATAAGTTTCCTAAATGAAATATGGGATTGATATTTGATAAGTTTATTAAATGAAATAGAAATAAAAAAAGATAAGGACTTTTGGATGAATATATCTCTGATTTTTTTATATATATGTAGAATCTATAGGAAGTTTTCTATTTAGTATGGACTCATAATCTTATATATATAGTACAAAAGTGCAGAGAATTTGTGTATCTTATTTGGGTCACTATATAGGAATGGTGGTTCCTCTGGAGAGAGAGAGAGCTAGAGCCTCCTGTGTATGTGTATGAGATGAATTTTCTCTTAGAGAGAAGAGAGCTTCTTATGAAGAGAAACACTGATGATGCTTCCTATGCGATGCAATTTCCTGAGAAAATAGCTTCCTATGAAGAGAAACATTGATGATGCCTCCTGAAGACTCTTGCAGAGTGAAAAATTGATTTCTTGTAGGGAAGCGGTACCATGGAGATTTTGGGTTGTTCCCTTTTTAGTTATAGAGAAAGTCAGTTTCTCATTGCTCTCGCATTTTTATCTGGTATTGTTGGTAATGGTTGCTAGAAGTAAAGAGAATGAATGGAGAGTGGTTTAAAAGCGTTTGCTCGACTGTAGTGTCCAAAATCTTTGATGTAACTTTCATTGGTATAGTAGATTTCTATTTGCAGTGCTCGTAGATATAGCCCTTCTGGGGTGAACCATGTAAATATTTGCGTTCTTGTGGTGTGTGTTTCTTGTTTTATTTCTCATACTTTATTTGTCAAAAATTAAGTCGTCGGGTTTAGAACTTCTGCGCACAACAAGTGGCATCAGAGCACTACACCTAGATAGGCCAAAATTCGCCTTAACATGGTCGTAGCCCTCAGAAGGCTGGCCCAAGCCCAACCTGGCCTTGACCGGGCCAAGTAGTCTCTGGCCCAAGCCCAAGCCCAATCCTAGCTCTATCAGAGCCGGGCTAGTCCGGTCCGGGTTAGATTAAAAGGAAAGGAACTATAGAAAAATACAAAAAAATGAGGGTTGGTCTAGGTCGAAAGGGGCCGGAGATATCCCCCCATGTCGTGCCCCTGGCCCGGCCTAGTCCCCAGCCCACATTTTGTGGCCCTGGCCAGGCCTGGTCCCCCGCCCACATTTTGTGGCCCAGGCCCTAGTTTTTTTGAGCTGGGGTGACTGGACTGGGTTGGGCCATAGGGCCCATTGCCACCCCTAGCAGTGTCTATTATTGGTTCAACCATTTTAGCGTCTTATGACATATTTTTTTAATATAAGAAAATTAATATAAAGATATGGATCACATATTATAAAGAAAAATACGTCATATTAATGTTATTTAAAATTTAGCCACAATGTACCTAATTACTTCTATACTCAGTTTTTTTGGGTCCCAAAACTGTCCATATTTCAGATCTTGAAAATCTATAAATAATAAAGTTACAAGATCCTCTGCAGGAGACAGGATAATAAAGTTACAAGATCCTCTGTAGGAGAGAGGATAGTCGAGGTATTTTTTATTATATGTTCCTTTATAAAAAAATTTAGATTTTCAATATTTGAATTTAACAAAAATATAGGACCCTTAGCAGGGAAATGCTATTTTAGAATTCTAAAAACCTAAAAATTTAATTTCATAGTAAATTTTGGATTTTTTAATTCCGATACTCTTTAGGTGCATAATTATTTTCCCTAATAAAAATTTTAAGATTTTCAAGATCCAAATTTAGCAAAATACAAGATCCGCACCAAGGAATATAATTTTTTAGATTATAAAAATCCAAAAATTAATTTAAAGTAAATTTAATATTTTTGAAGTCTAAAAATGTTTAGGGATGCTAAAATTTAATTTTTTATTTTTATTCCAAAAATTAAATTTCAAAAATAAGTTTTAGATTTTCAAAATCCTATAACAATGATATGAACAGTTCATACTCATATAAAAATATAACAACAAAATATAACTAGAACAATGATCAAATATTATGAATAGGTTATACTCATATAAAAATAATTTTGTACAATTATATGTTATAAGAAAAATAATAATTATTCTAATATTTTATTATATAAATTTGCTAAGGAATTAGACACATATAAGAATACTTGATAATATATATAGATTTTATATTAATACTGTAAACAAATTTTATTAATAAGATTTGTTTAATGAGTGATATAATACCTAAAAACAAATTATTCAAATTTTAGTAATAATATTTGTTTAATAAGTGACATAATACCTCAAAACAATTTATTAGCAAACAATTTTCTTGTTAATTCTCATATTTAATGAGAATTATGCTTACATTAAAAAGTCATAAATATAATTATATTCATTACTTGAAGTTTTTGGGACATGATTTGAAAATTACAATTACTCAAAAGAAAACCTAATATTTTATTATTTATTTTCCTTTTTAGATTTTATTTTTTCTAAATTTTTATGATTATAGTTACATGAATAAATAATATATGTACTAGCCAAAAAATACAAATTACTAATCAAAACAAGGAAAATAAATATAAGTAACCAATAATACAAATTATTTTATATAAATTTTCATAGTAATATTTACTTATAAGTAAAAAATATATTTACTAATATAATTAAAAATAATTTAAAGCTATTTTAAAAAATAATAAAATTGAAAATAAAAAAAGATAAAAGATATTTCCTTCTTTATTTTGCTTTTTTATATTTTTTGTTTTTTCCAATTTTTTGGAATACTATTTACTTATATGTAAGAATATATTTATTATTGTAAATAAAACTAATTCCATTTATATTAGTGAATAATATAATTACAAATACAACAAAGGAAAAAGAAAATAATAAGTAACCGTAAATGCAAATATTAGAGATGAATAATATAATTGAGATTCATCATTCTCATCATCATCATTCGGCCTTATCCCAACGATTTAATCGGCTGCACAAATCTTGTTCCTCCATTATGCTCTGTCATGGGCGATCCTATCAATGAGACCATAAATTATCATATTTCTTGTCACTAATTCTGTCCAAATTATATAAATGAAATTATCTCAAAATGCAAGTTATAAATAGAATTATAATCATATTTTGAAGTTTATGAGATATATTTTTGTATTTTATTTTTAGAAGCATATTTACTTATATGATTGATAATAATTTTTAGTAGGTTAGAAAATAATATCATTGAGAATATGAAAAATAGTATATCGTAAATATAAGAATAATTATTATTATTGAATAATCAAAATCTCTCTCTTCTTACAAACTTTCTATAATTGAATATGCCTTTTTAAAAAAATCAAAGAAATTATAAAAAATATGCATTGTTTTAGATTATTAGAAATAAACATCAATTTTATTTATAACCTTATTCATACCTCTTTTCTCTATTATTTGCGTCGTTTTGATGAAAATACCCTTCAGGGTAGTCTTACATCTGTGAAGGCATCACAGTCACCAAGAACACTGATAGTCATAACGGGTTCTAATGTCACTTTAAGAACCGTGATGGGTTTCTGGACTATCACATGGTCACTTGAAGCATCACGAAACTTAAAGAACCGTGATGATAACTGAAAGCATCACCACTCTAGTCACATTTGGTTCGCATGAAAATGTTGTTTGGAAAACATTTTTAACATGAAAAAATTCTGTCATGCGGTCAAGTGTGAGAATATTTTCATAATAATTGGTCTTAATGCATATTGTCACACTATTTGATAACTACTTGATGTAAAAATATTCCCACACTTGACTACATGAAAGAATTTTTTCCCACACGAGAACCAAAAATCTTAAAGAATCATAATGGCCACTTGAAGTGTCACGATGATCGTGGAAGCATTGCAACACGTAAAGAACTGTGATGGTCACTGGAAGCATCACTGCATGTAAATAACCATGATGGGTTTATGGACTATCACATGGTTACTTGAAGCATAACGACACTTAAAGAACCGTGATGGTCATGTGAAGCATCACGACACATGAAGAACCGTGATGCCTCCTAATACATCTTTGAAGGGTATTTTAGTCACAAAAATCTAAAAAGTGATGCAAAGGGGTATGGATGAGGTTTTGAATAATTGGAAATATATATATATATATATATAATTTCCCAAAATTATATTTTCATATTGAAATTTTATTAAGGGAAAAGTTTATATAGCGCCTAGGCTCTAAACAATCAAATTAGAGCCTACTTCAAAACTTTAACAAAAAGAGGTTGTTTTGATGTCCAAATTTCATCAAATTGATCATCTCGACATCAAGATGCATGACATAAAAAAAAAAAAGATTTCTAAGTTTTTGAAATAGTATATTTTGTAACGCATTTATTATGTTAATTTTCAAGATTTTTAAGTTTTCATTGATCATCGTTCTACACTAGTTTTGAAGTTTGAATTTTGTAACTAAAGATAAAATATAATTTAAGGCTATCACAAACTTTCAAGTATATTTTTAATACTTTTTGACACTATTAGAAGGTAGTAGGCTCTAATTTGATTTGATTATTTAGTGCGCCGGCACTATACAAACCGCACCCTTTTATTAATACTGGATTTTAATACTCGTGGAAATGCGACAAGAATGTAAAAGTGGCGAAATTTGAGCAAAAACTTCATTCAGGATTTGAAGATGCTCTAACTTCTTAGCTCTTCTCCGTGTTATCTCGGTGAAGCAATGTTGTCTGCAAGGCTTTTTCGTTTTCCTTCTCAACACTTTCTCCCCCGAAAAATGCCTGGTCCGTCCTGTCGCCCTCTCCTCGTCTCTGCATGCTCACCTGTTGAGCCCAAACCAAAGCCATGGCTCCTTGTAGGTCTAGGCAATCCTGGCAAGAAGTATGAAGGTACCAGACACAGTGTAAGCTTTGATTCATTGTTCTTTTCTTCTTCTTAGATTCGTTGTTTTATTGCATTGGTTTTTCGTTATTTTATTTCATCTGCTTTTCTTTGTTGGGTATCTTTGTTTTACTTCTTCCTATGGTGAATGAGCATGACTTTTCTTGCCCACCATATTTATGTGATATTGAAGGTGAATGAGTATGATTTTTCTCGCCCACCATATTTATGTGATATTGAGAGAAGTTCATAAAGCTCTATTGATTGGAAAAACATCAGTTTTCTCTATGCTTTTCGGGTTATTGACTTTATGTGAATTTAATAGAATGACAGGGGGTTCTATTGCTTAAATCAACTATAATATGCTTCTATGCTTCTTGGATCACTGGTTTTGTTGGATTTCGATCTTGTTTTTTCTTTGTTGGATTTTCTTTTCTTTTCTCTTTTTGGTTATTCTTGTTGTTGGAAATGATCATGGCTCTTCATACCTATGGTTATTTTGTGTCTTCATTAGCTGGGTCTCTTAGTTTTGCTAGAGCGGAACAGCCTTCTTTCGATTAAATCAACTTCTAGTCTTTCAGCCATATGTAAAAGAGAATCAGGCCCTAGGTTTTGAAAATCGAAATGTTTATTGCTTTTTTTTTCTCTGAGCTATCGGGATGATAACATTGTGGCCAAATATGCATGCTGTTACTGTATTCATTGTTTAGAGCAGTGCTTGAAAAAGCATGATATTCCTCCATTGAATTGTTTTGGAAGGGGTGAGGTGAATCAAACACCCGTTGTATATAAACAAAAGCCATTTATTGAATATAGCAACAATTATATAATGGCATAGTTGCCATTATATCGAGTTTCAAAGTTCACAAAGTAATGTGGATGTGACATTGGCTATAATGTTCGTTATTTCTATTAATGTTTTTGGAGTTTGTGATACCATTAGTTTTGAAAATTTTCCCCTACATCCTTTTCAGCATATACCCATTATATTCATCACATTATAGTGAAGATACTCCATGGGCTAGAGGAGGGGTGTCGACCAGAAACTCTGTTAGACTTGCTTGAGTTCAATTGGGTTTGGGTACATTGGTTGCTAAGAGAATGGCACATTAAAGGAGGGATTTGACTATGGAGACATATACTTTCCCCATAACTAATATTACCCCCTTTTGGATAGGTTTGGGGTAATACTTGCATGTTCTTTTTGCATGGATTCTTATTTTTCTTGAATGGAGAACTAAAGGAACATATTTATTCAAACAATGAAAGGGGCATATAGAGGCCTATGAGACAAAAGATATAAACTGAAGTAGTCAATATATGATGTGATACGAATTTCACAACAATGGTATGTTGCACATAATATTCCATGTGCTATTCTGAGGCCTTCTTGAACCACGATATCTTACCACAAGACCTCCCATCGGAATTTGTAAACAAGATTTCATTCCGATGTCCTAGCTTCTTGGGATAATTGCATTGATTTAAAAAATGAACCGCCCTAGGCGGTCCAGAAGGCTTGGGTGCTTTGCCCAGGCCTAGGTGGTAAAACTGGGCGGTCCATCCTTGGGCGACCGCCTAGCGCCTGCCTTGGGCGTCCGCCCCTCCCAGAGGCGGAAAAAATGATTTTTTTTTTTATTTTGTTATTTTGAAATATCTAAAGGTTAAGAATGATGGATTTGGGTTCATTTGAACCCTAAACCCACAAGAAGCCCCTTTAGACTAAAAAAAACTCTATAAAACTACATTTCATTGAATCGATCATCGAAGTGTTTCTCAAAGTTTTGGAGTTCAAGCAACCAAAGTAAGCGCATTTTTTAGATTGCTTGCTTTATTTTGAGATGTCTTCTTCAGGAGTTAGTCGGAGTGGAGATTTGGGTTGGAAATATGGATACAACTCGAATCCAAATGACAAAAATTGCGTTAGTCGTTTGATGTAATTTTTGTGAAAAAGAGACAAAAAGAGGCCTAAACCGGTTTAAGAAACATCTTACCGGTATTAAGGGGGATGTTGCCTTTTGTAAAAATGTTCCTGAAGCTATCAAAGAGGAGATTAAACAATTTTTAAGTTATGTAAAATAAAAACAAGAACAAAATCCTTGTCATAGATCTATTCTGCTGCTACTAAAAATAGTGATACGCGTTGCTGCTACTAGAAATAGTGATACGCGTTGGAAGTATGGATATACCCAAAACCAAATGATAGAAATTGTATAAGGTGTAATTTTTCTTAAAAAGATACCAATGGGGGTATTAGCCGATTCAAAAAACACCTTGCTGGTTACCAGTTAAAGGTAATGTTGCTTCTATTACAAAGGTTTTTGAAGCAGTTCGAGATGAGATTAGACATCTTTTGAATTTCGAAGAACCAAAAAAGGATGAAAATAAGCCTTGTTCTATAGAAGTGCTTTCTCTAGCTTCTAGTTATCGGAGTGGTGATCCGCGTTGGAAGTATGGTTATATCCGGAATCAAAATGATAAAAATCGTATTAAATGAAATTATTGTGGAAAGGATATTAATGGTGGCATTTACCGGTTTAAAATACACCTTGCCGGTATTACGGGGGATGTTGCCCCGTATAAAAATGTTTCTGAGGCTACAAAGGAGGAAATTATACAATATTTGAGTTCAGGGAAGCACAAAAAGAACGGTACAGTAGCCAAGACTCCTAGGGCCTCATCTGTACAGACTACACATACCAGTAAGAGGAAGGTAAAAGAAGAGGAGGAAGAGGCAGATTCCGAAAAAATAGATGAGGATGAACGTTATATTGAAGAGGGAGATGTCTCTGATGATGATGACCTTGCCTTTGATGCATATGATGAGGCTTGCGCTATTGATATTCCTTCTGATGATGATGATGATGATGATGATTGAAGACTCTTGCCTCTTGGTGCTGAATGTTGAGTGTTGAGTTTGTTCGCTGTTGTGTTGAGTCTGTTGACTGTTGACTTTTGTTTCCACAGAAGATGATGGAGGGAAGTGAACTTCCACCACCATTTGCCAAGCAAAGCAAGGTTCATGATTTTGCGATTTTTGATAACCAAACCACCAAAGTTTTTGGGGGTGCTGACTTTGTCCAAGGCAACTAGGTGGAATTTATTACTTTCTTTTTTTTTAAAAGTGTGGAATTTATGACTTTTTGTTGTCCCAGACAAGAGAAAGTCTCGCATAAGTTCCACCAACCGGTGAAGGTCAGAGGTAGGAATTTGGAAGAGAGACATGTGATAAATGGGATTGATGGCTAGGGTCGATTTGATGAGGCCAGTTCTTCCTCCAAAGGAAAGAAACCAACCCTTCTCGCTTGCAAATTTCTAATTGAACTTCTCGATTAAATTGTCCCAGATGTGTTTTTTGGGTTTGCATAAGCAAAAGGGAAGGCCAAGGTAGGAGGAAGGGAGGCTTTTTGTGGAACGACTTAGATGTTGAGCAAGTGAGTATAATTCTCCATTATCTACTAGAATACCCACCATTTTGCTTCTAGATAAGTTGACTTTTATACCAATAAGAAGATAGAAGCTTCTAAGGAAAAGCCATAAACTATCAAGTTGGTGGGGTTGGGCCTCACAAACAATGAGGGTATCATCTGCGTAAAGAAGATGGAAGAGAGTCGGGCCATTCTTAGATGTCCTACTTCCCGTAAGAGGCAAGTCATAGAGTCTGGTGAGAAAAGTTCTCCTATTAAAGTGAAGAGGAAAAGCAAGAGAGGATCTCCTTGCCTTAGGGCCTCGGGTAGAAGAGAAAAAACCAACCGAAGTGCCATTTTGGAGGATGGAAAAGGAGGGGTCGAAGACACAAGCTTTGATCTAATTCCTCCATCTTGAGCCAAAGTCCATTCGATATTGAATGAGGTCAAGGATAATTCAGTCTACCCGATCATAACCTTCTCCCAATCCAGTTTGATAATAAGTTCCTTTTGGCCAAAAAGAGATCTGGAACGGATAGCTTAATGAGCCGTTAGGGCACGCACCAACCAGAATCCGTCTACTGGCAACAAAGGCAGATTGGGTAGGAGAGACTACGGAGCTGAGTACCTTCTGGAGGCGAGTGTACAAGAAAAACAAATTTTGATCTTTGATAGTTTGAAAATTGAAACAATTAATTGCAAATCCACAGTACACAGCCTCGTAAATCACTACTGTGAAAGCAAGCATCACATAAAATTAAATTATGAATCCCAAAAAAATCAATTTGAATATCATTGTCATCGTCCCAGCCTTGTTCCCACTATTTGGGTTTGGCGCAAAAACAAATTCCATTATTGCAACCCAAAGTTTCCAAAAGTGAAAACATGGAGAGAGTCAAGGATAGAACTCCAACTACCTCTTTGGCGCCTAAACAAGCTCCGGTAAAAGTGAAAGCCCACCTTCGCCCATCAGACATATGAACATGAACTCTTGATCTATTAACAACAAGACGCAGTTTCCGCTTCATAGGCCTCGCATATACAATATTTTCTAAGAGACGATGATGTTGGTGAGCACGAAGGGATGTAAGGGGACATGCAGCAATCCCTTCCAATAGAACATGCCATTATCACTGAAACAATGTCAATAGTTTGAATTGTGAGTTAATTGAAACCGCAACATCCTATCGCCCTCTCTCGTAAAATAACCTGATTTCGTCGTCCACGTAACATTTGCAAAGATTCAGATTATCTCAGATCGGATATAGAAAAGGAGTTTTGGAAATGGACGGAAAATGGGAATAATGAGAGAGGAAGAGAGAATTGCAGAGCGAGCGAAAGGGTGAACCGGTGAAATGAGAGGCGAACCGGTAAAATGCGAGCCCAAAATTGCGATTTAGCAGAGAGTGAAAACCTCATTGAGGGAATGAAAGAGGGAGAAAACAGGGTTGAATGAGGGCCCCGATAATAACATGAAATGTGAAATATCCATGGCAGTCGTGCTCCCGTCGATCCGGCCGGCATGGGAGAGGTTTCGTGGTCCGAGTGAGCCGGTTGCATTAGATGTGTTCAATTATGGGCCAAAAAAACTTTTAGAAATGGAAAAACGTTTTTA